ACAAGGAGAGGGTGAAAACCTTCCGATCCTGCTGTCTGCAGCCTGATAACCTCCAGCCTCCTCCTGCACACTGTCTGTAACACTGTCAGGGAGGCAGCTAATTAGTATGTACAAACATTTCACCTACCACACAAGGCAGCTCTGCCTAGCTGTCATCCTGGATCCTATACTACCTCCTTCATTCTATTTCCTGCTGATTTCAGGAAGCAGCAGTGAGGCCCCTGCGGGGCTTGCATCTCAATTTCTTCCCCTGTGGCTGACATAGGGCAGGGCACTGGAACTTCACTGACAGCAGACTTTGGTGAGATAGAGCGCCTCTTCCTACACACAGCCTTAAATGGCGCCCCCCTAGGCAAGTGCCTGTCTTGCCTAATGGAAGCGCTGGCCCTGTACCTATCACACTCTTCACTACCAAGTTTTCTACTCTACACGAGAACAGAAAAACGTGCTTGTTGTGAGTTCCTCACACATTCTCTGTCAACCACAATAATAGGGCGAGGGGACATCCCCAAAACATACCCAAGCGGCTACTTACCTGCTAGTAACAGCTGGGGAACCCTCTAGAGCAGCTTCGGAGTTACACTCACTGACCCACTGCCTGACATAGCATCTGCGGCCTACTCACCTGGCGGGTCCCACTGAGGGAAGAAACGGTCGATCTTCCAGCATGAGACTGCAGGTACACCACAGCTGGCCTGTTGCTCCCCCTTCAGATCGGTGGGGGGATATCCCGATCCCCACTGGGGAGAAGGCTATCAACTGCTCACAACATCACCACGGCAGCCTGCTCAGCTCCAACAAGCTCTTGTAACATGGTCAAAATGGAGTTATCTGTAATGAACTGGGAAGCCAAGTTTCTAGCCAATTTCAATGAGATCTGCGTGGCGTTTTGGTCACGGATTGAATCCTGAACAGAACCGATGCAACTATACGCAACCCCTGCTGTACAGCCACCTATGACAGCCGGCCTCACAACCTGCCCTGCATCTGAGCAAGTGACTTGTTTGGCGCAAAGCCCCCATCCTCCAGCACCTGCTGCCATGCAAGTGGACAACATGGTTGTCTTGGACACTCGCCATTCTTCTTAGCTGGGAGCTCCCTCCACGGTACCCCTCCACTGCTGTCCAAACACCCATGAGATAACCAGGATCTGGTGACACCTCAGGCCCACGATCCTGATGAGTGGATCAATGGACATGTGGCAAGGGCTTTCGTTAAGGCCTTGAGCTGAAGACGCGCAGTACCACGACGACACAGAAACATGAGCTGCTGGCTGAGGACTGCTGCGTGGAGGTATGAACAATGATATGACCATGGCGGGCATCTTGGAAGAGCAATGTGGATCCGCTATAATGTTTGGGGCTGGTGGGGTGCCCCCCCACAGTCTGATAAACTGGCTTCCCTCCGTGATTGCAACATCCCATCTTCTGGCTTCTGAGCAACCTTGTGGACATACTGCAAAGCCCATTACCCTAGCTTGCTGCATATCATTACTATTATAGCAATGTCAACCTAGAAATTTATGGAGCATAACTTAGGGGGATGCCTGTGCGCACTCCACATGGGCCAAACAGGCATAATTTGTCTGACAAAGGCTGAGCCAGTTACTAACAACACACTGCAAGTTAGATTTTGTGATGTAGGCTGTCTACACGCTTAACTTGTGCTTTCATACCCAGTGGTATCTATTACGGAGCAACATGTCAGCTGTTACAACCAGATTTATTTAAGCCTTCTTTTTGCTTATTGCTGACATTTTATGTCCCCATCTTGCTGAATCATCATATATACTTACCTAATAGCCTTGTGGTCAAGGCAGCTTCTCCTCTAATGTTTGAGTTTTATCACTGTTGACAGTCTTGATACATTTGTCTAATGTGTTTATTTTCTTGTTTTCCTTACCCCCAAAAAAACCAAGGCAATCAGATCTAGGAGTGTATTTTGTGATACTGTCAATCTTATATTGTGTGTAGATCCCGATCAACTACTTCTCTTTTTTCTGTACCATCCAATTCAAATGAAAAAGAAAAATTGACAAAAAAAATGCTGTAAATTAAGTATTCTTTCCAAAATAGAATTTTGAATAGTTTATTTTTATTAATGAACAAAATGAGTGAACAGATGAAATATTCAAATAAATCTTATATTTGGTGTGGCACGAAATCCAGATTTGATTTATGACTGACAAAATGCTCTACATCAAGTGGTGGGAGAGGGTGGAGAAGGTGGCAGAAATAATACAGTTGGGTGGAACAATGGGCGGAGGGCTTTTTTCCAAGAGCAAAATTGTTGGAATGTGTCTGCCTTCCCATTCCCTGCACCAGAACAATAGGTTATGACATTATTAAACCTGGATAAGAATAAAGACCACCTAGCCTGGCGACAATATATAACCTAACTGATATAGATTAAGTTCTCATAGGCAGTGAAGATATAGATCATGAGAGGTGCTTCCATTCTTTAAGAGCTAGAATCATTGCTATAAGTTAAAAAATTATCAATGTAATAATCCTACTCAGCAATGGAAAGTTTACTGGAAAAGAAACAACAGGGGTAGAGGGGGCCCTCAAAGGAAGCTATCTGTGAAAGAACTACCCTAACTTCAACCCTAAATGCAGACATTGCCAAGATAAAAGGTTTATTGACATGAGATGGAGGCATTGTTACTGTTCTCAAAGACTAGCACAGAAGAAGTCCAATTGATGGTGTCTCTTATTTAGAGCCGTGATAGGAGATAAGGTGGAGGTGAACCATTTACTGAATTGTCAGTAACACTTAGTGACCTGAATAAACATTTGAATAGCTTCTCAGGGTCCATTTGAAAACCAGATATAATATACCCTAGGAAGGATATTGTATCTCTTTCAAATATACACTTCTCAATCATTGCAATACAACAATTTTTCTAATAACCTGGTGAGAACTTGACACACTTGCTGGTGATAGCAGACTAGACTAGATCTGTGAAATGAAAGAGAATATCATCTAAGTATATAATCACACAGGACAGAAGAAAGCTTTTAAAGTTCATATTACTAAATTCTTGGAAAATAGCGGAGCATTACGAAGACCGAAAGACATCACAGTATATTGATAATGGCCAATGAATGTTATAGGCTGTTTTTGATTCATGTCCTTCCTTAATTCTTACCAAGTTGTAAGCACCTCTTAGATAAAACTTGGTGAAAACTTCAGACACCTTAATTCAGTCATATAGCTTGTTAATAAGAGGAACTGGATATGCACATTTGATGGTACTTTTGTTAAAATTTCTGTAATCAATACATGGACACAATTCCCCTTCTTTCTTTTCAACAGAGAAAAAAACCCACCCCAGCTGGAGAAGAGCATTTGCAAATAAAACCATTGCTCAAAGCCTCAGAAAAATAGTACTCCATAGCCTTATTGTCAATAGGTGATAACAGCTTGGTTCTACTTCTGGGAGGACTACTGCCTGGCAAGAGATATATTGTGAAAACATACCAGCAGGGAGGGGGTAACATCTACACTTCTTTATTATTGAATATCATAGCTAGATCAGAAAAAAAGAGCTGGATTTAAGGAATTGGTGTTCAAATGAATAGAAAAATGGGTCTGACTAAGGCAAGACTGGAGTAGTTAAAATGTGAACTCAAAGAAGCTACTTCACCCTCCTCCCATTCATTAATGTTATTGTATTTGATTAGCCTGGGAATTCACAATACTGTCAGACCTGAATGAGAAGAAATTACCTGAAGAGAAATAAGTAAAATGTGGGTAAGACACCCACAAAAATTGGATAGCATAGTACCTGATAAACCTTATATGAAAATGGCTACTAGTGCATTATTGCTGAAGTCTAGTTAAGCCGCGTACGTTCAGAACTCCAAAGTGTACTCATATGATGGCCTAAATCTCTGCTTCTACATGTACTAACAATGCCTCGTGAGCCTAAGCGTACTAGTCTATCCTGTGGCCATGTTCCAAACTACTGACTCATACCCACAGGAGTCCTAGTGGTACTTTTGTAATATCAGAAACCTAAAGGGGATTACAGCTTTTATTCAATTACATATCCCTTGTGTTAATGACTTAATATAACTCACACAACCCAAATGGTAATTAGAGAATATTTTGGAAAAATTAAAAATTATGTTCAAATACATAAATATTTAATTGTTCTCAATATCTTATTTAATATTGTTCACATAAATATGTAATGAAAAAATAATTATACCTCAGCATTTAAATCTTAAAGGGACACTATAGTCACCATAACAACTACAGCTTAATGTAGTTGTTCTGGTGAGTATAAGCATTCCCTGCCTTTTCAGAGAAAAGTCAGTGTTTACATTGCCCCCCCCTAGGGACACCTCCAGACTCTGCATGGAGTCGCTGAATTTTTTTTATAGAGATGCATTGATTCAATGCATCTCTATGAGGAGGTGCTGATTGTCCAAGCCAGCATTTGGCCCATGCCTGTCCCAACTCCTTGCCAATTTCAACAAATTGACTGAAATCATAAATTCTGATGATGTCAGCAAGGAGGTGGATCGGGGGCGGGGCAGAACCGTCAGACTATGTGCTGCCCTGGAAATAAGGTAGGTTTAATTACCTTTTAAGGGGCTAAGAGGGGGCAAGCCACCTAAATTGTGGTGCTATGCAAGAACAATTAATAACTAGAAAAGTTACAATTTCAGGGGAAATTGTGTGAAGTGTTCTTGCCTCCACCTGTAGTCTACAACTGGAGTGGGCGTAGTAACTGTTATCATTTACATAGCAGATTTAATTGCAACGTTGTTGCACAGTTACATTAAACCATACATTTATAAAAACATTAGCAGGTGTTCAAAAGGCCCTGTCTATGACATCACTTGCTGCTGCAGCTTGACACAGGTCAGAGTATTTTGGCGGTTGCCATCTTCAAACGGTCGTATCTTAAAAACTATAACTCCTACAGTGAAGAGCTTTATATTGTGAGAATCACAAGACCCAGACGTACATTTTGATGCATAGTATGTCTCTGAAGTATTAAAATTGAAGGCACAGTCGCAGTTTAGAAATTGCACTTCAAATTTGAGCTTTGCAGAGTGAAGTTTCAATGAATGTCAATGGACGGCGTTGGTTGCAAACAAATGGTCATATTGTGAAAACTATCAGGACTACGGCTTAGCCGTTGACATGTTTAGTGGCAGCAGGGATAGCTGAACGTTTTGATATAAGATTTGTGTAGGTGGGCCTGAAAATAAGGGAGTGGTGGCAGTTTAGAAATCATGTCCTGATTTTTCAGCTTTTGCCAGCTCCCACTCTAGCTTTGCCATTCATTCCTATGGGACAAATTGCGCCACAAAAACGACGATATTCCGTGAACCATTCGGCGAAACGTTCCACAAAGTAATAGCAATCCGATCGGGAACAATCTGCACGTTTTGGTAAATTTTGGTCTATGTAGTGTAAAAACTGTGGGAGGAGTTAGGGTGGCAAATTTGGCTATAATAAGAATAATATATATGTGAGATAACAGTAAGTGGTCTTGCTATGCAAGAACACTTAATTACATTCAAAAAAAAGAAATTAAAGCAGGGCAAACATACAGGGGCACAATTTTTTTAATCAGTACACAGTTCCACATAGAATGTTCTTAAAAGGTAGATAGATGCCTATATATAAAGTATTCAAACATTAATTTGCATTAGATTAATATCAAGTGACTGGAGTGTCCCTTTCAGTACAATTATTACATGAGTATCTGAGTCTAGTTGTCCTTCTGCATTAATTGCTCTAAAAGGGACACACCAGACCCTTAAACCCCTTCAGCTGGCTTAAAGGGACACTGTAGGTACTATAAACACTCCATCTCATTGAAATGGTTAGAATGCGTGGAGTCCCCTGGCACCGTCCCTCCATTTAGTGATAAACCATTTTGAGCAGTTTAACAGTGAAGGTGTTTCTAAACCAGTCTGTGTTAATAAAATACATTATTCTTATTCTAAATTACGTTTTAGTTGCATAAATTTTAATTGGTAGGTTCAAGTAAAATTTCTCAGAACAGCCCAGCCCTGGCCACACCCCTAAGTTTCCTTCGTTGTCCAACTGAAATGTTGAGAAGTATGCATTACAGAGCCAAAAAAATATTCCAGAACAAGTGCTCTAAATCCAAAAATAGGTTAATTCACACGGTGCAGAAATAGACAAACAGGGGAAATCTGGCTTCTGATTTCAGATTTATTTCCACAGCGTATTTGTATTAGCTCTCTACACTCCAAGTATTTCTTAAGTATGCATTACACACTTTCTTCTTGCTATACCAATTCACACCTAAATGGGCACTATGATAGGCTAAAAGCAGTCAGCTGACACTCTTAGCCAATCACAGCCACACACTGATGCTCAGGTTAACGTTTTCTCATTAGTTTGAGCAGCAGAGATGGGATAAGAAGTATCTGATTGGATACAAGTCATCAGTAATGACTTCACAGGAGGCAGATCAAAGAAGCAACGTGGAGACTCTTCCCGTGTTTGAATAAAAGTGAGCGTAATAGCAATTTTAATGCGGAAAAGGCAGTGCAGTAATCTAAAGAAATTTTCAGCAAAATAATTCCCTTAACAATGCAGATTACGTGTGTATTCATATAGTAGCATCTTTGACATGGTTTTCATTGAGCAGTGTATATGTAGCCAAAGCTTTCATGCAAAAATGACTGTAAACAAAAGTAACTGACCATTATTATTGTGGATATTTTCAGAATGCTACCGTAGTCTGCAGCGCTGAACAGTTGGATCAAATCGGGAAGGTAGACTTAAATGAGGTAAAAAAATAATTCATATAAAGTGAGCGTATTAGCAATTTCAAAGCAAAATAGGAGTAACCTATAGGGGCATCAGTAATATAAGCTATTTTTCAATAGAATAATTCTTTTAAAGGGACACTTAAGTCTCCAAAACAATTGTATCTTAATAAATAGCTTTTTGTGTACAGATCAGGCACTCTCACCGCTCAATTATCTGCCATTTAGGAGTTGAATCACTTTGTTTATACAGCCCTAGTTACACCTCCCTGCATGTGACTTACACTGCCTTTCTAAACACTTCCTGTAAAGAGTCATCTAATGTTTACACTTCCTTTATTGCAAATTCTATTTAAAGTTAGAATTTATTATCTCCTGCTATGTTAATAACTTGCTAGACTCTACAGGAGCCTCCCATATGTAATTAAAGTTCAATTTGTGGTTCAGGAGATACAAACTTTTTCATATAGTAACATCTGGTTGAAAATGAAACATTTTTATTTTTCAAGGGGAGATGTGGCAAAGGCTGCATAAACAGAAACAAAGTGATTCAACTGCTAAATGGCAGATAATTCCCAGATTTTACTAATAACATGACGTAAAGTCATGATTTTATTAATGACACGGAGGCGAGTATTATGCTATCTCTTTCTTACTTTATTCCTCAGCAGCAAAGAGAAATATAAAACTGAAAGAGAAAAAATGTAGATATGAAATAATAATAACAGGTACAACCAGATGTGCCTAGTAACAGGGCAGCCAATCAGCTTAGTAGGAACAGTCCATAAATGCCTTGCTTAGTACTTCCACTTCCTCTTCTTTGCCTTCTGAACCGAAGACCCAAACCAAACTTCCACATCAGGAAAGAACAATCTCCAACAAGGTAGACGTCATCTTAACGAAATCAAGCTGTAAAACAGAGAAAAGGTAGGTAAAACCCAAACTCCGGACCTGCATGTAACATTTCATGACAATCTGGCCTGCAGGACTAAAAAACGCCAAATCGGAACCACATAAGTACATAGATTCCAAATAAGTCAGAGAAAAACTGTGAACACTTACCTTGAGGTAAAAAAAAAAGAGCCCCCACCCGATTGAACCATAAGTATAGACCCAAACCATACCCACTGGGTGGGAGGGTGGGAATAATACTCGCCTCCGTGTCATTAATAAAATCATGACTTTACGTCATGTTATTAGTAAAATCTGGGAATTTTATTAATGACACGGAGGCTCCTATTATGCTAGTTTAAAGCTGAGCCATAACTAACGAGGAAACATGGTCATTCGGGCGGAAATAAAAATCGCGGAACGTAGATTCCCTAGACCAATCCGCTGCCTTCAGGATATCATCCAGGCGACATCCCATCGTGGAGGCCTTAGACGCCATGGCGCCTCTGACCGAATGAGCCGAAAATATGGAAGTGTCAATTCCTGCAGCGGATAGAAGGTTCTTAATCCAACGAGCTAACGTAGTCGAGGAGATCGGGAGAAACGGTTTCTTAAATGAAATAAACAATTGGGATAAATCCGAAGACCTCAATAGGTGAGTGCGATTCAAGTACACCTGTAGGCAAGCTACCGGACACAGAGCAGGTCGGACTGAACACCTAGGGTAGGTCACTGACTCAGAAGACGTCTTCGTCCTCCTAGAGATGTTAAACGACACTCCCTCGGGGGTGAAGGATAACGCGCTCCAGTCCAAAGCCCTGGCATCTGAAACCCTTTTGCATGAAAGGAGACACAGGAGCATAACCAATTTCTAGGATAATTGCTTCAGTGACAGGTCCTCATTAGGAGGCCATGATTCCAAGAAGTCCAGCACCACGTTAACATCCCAAAACGATGAATATCTGGATTTCGGAAGCCTAGAGTAACGAATACCCTTCAACAAACGGCACACAAAAGGATGTTGTCCAATCGGTGATCCGTCAATACCTATATGTCTGGCTGAAATGGCCGATCTATAAACATTGATAGTGCGATAGGCCAAACCAGATTCAAAGCGCGTGGTCAGAAAACTGAGCACCTCCTTCAGAGGGGCAGAAAGGGGATCCAGCAGTCTCCCCACGCACCAGCCAGACCACACACGCCATGCAGCCTTGTAAGCTGTTCTGGTACCCGGTGCCCAGGCATTCTCCAGGAGTCTTGTAGTAGCCTGCGGAACGTCCGAGACACACCAGGGTCCCCGGAAATCAACCAAGACGTGAGCTGGAGCAGGTTCTGGTCCACTAAGTCGTGCGAGTTCCCATCCGGATCCCGAAGCACCTCTGATCGCATCCTGATCATCCGTGGGCACTCCGCCGCCATCTCCAAAAGACAGGGAAACCAAGGCTGAGTCTGCCATAGGGGAACTATCACCACCAACGTGCATTCTTGTCCGGACAAGTATGCCAGCGTCCGAGAGATCAGGTTGAAAGGGGGAAACGCAAAGTGACGACCCCGAGGCCATATCTGCAGGAACGCGTCCACCGCCGTGGCTGATGGATCCGGTCTTCAACTGAAGTATTGGGGTAGTTGAGCGTTCAGTCTGGATGCGAACAAGTCCAGTTGTAACGGGCCCCATAGGTGATCTGTCGGAAGATTGAAGGTAACAGATGTCAATCTCCGGAGTCTTTCAAGTATCGCGAATTCCAGTCCGCCCATTCGTTGTCCAAACCCGGGATGTGTTCGGCCGTGACCGACACCGCACTGTGGAGGCAGAATTGCCAGAAATCCTTCGCTAGATTCGCCAGTTGTTTTGACTTCGTGCCACCTAGGTGATTTATATATCTGACCGCGGACACATTGTCCATACACAGAAGGACGCAGCAGTTTCCCAGGGTTGGAGACAGGCTGCGAATAGCGAACGATCCCGCCAGCAATTCCAGACAGTTGATGTGTAGCCCTGATTCGATTTCGGACCATCTGCCACCTGTGGAGACATTTCCACAGCGAGCGCCCCAGCCATGCAGGCTGGCATCCGATTCTATCACCAAGTCCGGGGCGGTGCCGAAGATTGCTCAACCATTCCATGCCTCCATATGATCCAACCACCATCGAAGTTCCTCTTTGGAGTCTCTGTCCAGGCATAGTTTGCTTTCGTACGAACTGCCTGAGCGAAGGTGGGATCCTTTCAGACGTTGCAGGGCCCGATAATGTAGAGGTCCCGGAAATATTGCCTGAATGGAGGAGGCCAAAAGACCAATGACCCTCGCCAATTGTCGTATGGAGAGACTGGTGGTCCGTAGAGTACGTCTTATTTCTTTCTTCATAGCCTTTAGCTTGGTCTCTGGAAGGAACAGAAACTGGGCGACTGAATCGACTTCGAAACCCAGAAATTCTATTTTCTGTGATGGGGTCACCATGGACTTTTCACAATTAATGAGAAAACCTAAGCTCTCCAGAAGATCCACCGTCCAGCGCAGGTGTTGTAGAAGTTGATCGGGGGACGCGGACATAATCAGTATGTCGTCCAGGTAGATAATCATGCGTACGCCCCGCGACCTGAGGAACGCCACCACCGGCTTCATCACCTTCGTGAAGCACCAAGGTGCTGAAGAGAGACCGAAGGGCAGACAGGTAAACCT